CATTTCATTATGATTGTAATTCAAGTTGAACTTCTTTGTTCAATTAACTTTTTCAGCCATCTTCTCATGTCTCTTCTACAGTTTCCAAGTAGATAATCTGTTTTCTTCTTCTACATTAAATAGATGTCGTTAATATAAGATTTAAAAAAATTAATAAACTTAATCGATTTATTTTCTTAATAATATATTTCTTAATATCTTTCTACAATATATAAATTTCAAATATTCGATTCTAGATGGCATTCTCTTCTAATATGATTCACTGATAACTCTAACGAATGTTTTTCTTTATGATTAGTCAAGCGTTTCATATTGAAATCGAAAGTTTTTATTTTTGAAACATAAACTATCTTAGAAATAGTGATTATTTTTAATGTAATTCAATATTTTTATTATTTTTAATTGATAATATTTATTCATACATATATATATATATAAATCCTTAATTAAAAACATGCAATCATCATCATCTGTTATAAATTCATCAAATAATCAAAATTATTTTCTTTCGCAAGAAGATCGTACACGTCTTTATCAATTATTAAATGAATTTGATAATGATCAATTACGTTTAATTCTTACAAAACATTTACGAAATCCTTCAATATTAAATGAACTACAACATTATCCACGTGCACGACTTTTTCAAGAATGTTTCACACTTTTTGATAATTGTCATCCAAGTGAATTAGAGCAAACATTATTTGCTTTAAGACAGAAACGTGTTCCATCAGATTTTTATCAACAACAACAGCAGCAAACACAATCAAATTTTCGAGCCTCATATAATCAAGAACCACCATCTTATTATACACATACAACAATACAATATGGTGGACAACCAAACTATCATTTACCGTCAGCAACAACAATACCACAACATATACGAGCGAGTAAGTACGTAGTAAAATTTTTAAAAATATAAAGAAGCTATTACTGATTGGACATTAATTCATTATTTTTCCTTGAAAATAAGATTTATCAACTTATTTAATAAATATCGAAGGTAAAAATATAAAAAACAACATTGTAATCGATTCTCATTCTTAGTTAAGGATTTATTTTCTTAATCTTTTCGACTAACATTGAGTTTGTCTATCGATTACAGATTGTATTAATACGCTTCTAAGCTTGTTCTTTTTTCTTTAAATGTCTATTACAATTTTAAACCATCATATAGTTACAAGATTCTCACTCTTCATCAATAGTAAAACTTCTATTGGTGAACTTTAGGTAATCTTTTAGCTGATCTCTGAAGCATAGCTGAGGTCTATCCAAATTTTATTCGTGTATATCAGATATTATAATCTATGGCGAGGAAATCTTGGTATGAAATATTCGGTCATTCACGAACAACTGATTAGAGTGAGTATCAGAATTTTTCTCTCTTTCCGAATTTATGTTTGAAATTTCCTTCCGAGGTAAGATTGAACAATTATCAGTAAATTGTTTCAAAAGTTCCGAAATAGTGGGTGTACAAAATATTATTTTGGTTAATTTTGTATTTCAATTAAAATCTATTAAATTTAAAATGCAAAACATTTTTTAAAGGCTCAATTTTGTAGAAAAAATCTTGCTCTACAAAGCATGCTATTTACTTTTGCATGACAAATTTAAAAACAGTTTTTGATCAATATGAATTTTCGTAGAAACAATAACCTTTAGATCTCAAATTCAGATTGAGAAATAGTTTGTGTAATCACTTTTTTCTGAAACGCGGTTTTATTATTTTATTACCATATTTGAATGTTTGTCAGAGAACACTATAGACTATCTAATGATATAAATATTACTAACAGATCATCGAATAAGATTTATTCGAAAAGTTAAAATCAAATGCCAGCAAAAAAAGATGTGATATAGGCTTTTCAAATTTATATATTTTCTATAGATGACAACGGATTTGTACAGAAAAATTACATCTTTAATGTCTATCAAGCACTAATAAGTTTTATGTTCGACATTTGTGTTCAATGAAAGGTATTCACTATTGTCGTTTGCTTTTTTATCGATATCAATATCTTTATTTTTTGTTTTTGTTGGTTTCCCAGTAACTTTTTTCTTTCTTAATTAGTTCTGAAAATATCTATGAGTAAGTATGCTTCTTTTTCTGATCATCTCAATTTATAGCGGTGCTGTACTCAATACCATCGCTAGGAAATATTCAATTTGTAAATCGATCACAATTCTTTTTATAATTACCTGAGTAAGAACATTTAATTAAATCGCTATTGACAAAACAATAGTTATGATATAAGTAAATGTTCAAACAAAAGAAATATATCAGAGTGATATTAAAAAAATCACGGTAAGACAAATATCACATATGCATAAAATGAGTCATCGCTTCTATTTATTAATAGCTGTCGTCTTCTAAAATATGTTTTACTGTATTAGGTCTTCACCACTATAGAATCATAGCCATAATACATAATAAATATTTTTTGTTGTAAAAAAAATTCAAAAGAACGAAAAACATAAAAATTGAAAAATACCAAAATTTCAAACTAAATCTCATATCAAAGGACTCTAGATCTATATTAAAAAGAGATTTTGCTTATTATAACATCTCACATTTTTTATACAATGTAATGCTCTACAATAATGCGGAGTTGAAAGCGAAATTTACTGACAGTTGTTTCATCTTACTTCAAAACGAAGATCTAAAGACATATTTGGAAATAGCAAAAAATTCTGATTCTATTCATAATCAGTTGTTCTTGAATGACCGAAAAATGAACGAATATTTTATGTCAAGACTTTCACGCCATAGGTTACATGTAGAAACTCACAAACCAATAATTGTCACGTGTGACCATGACTAAATATTTCATGGTCATACAGGTCTCTAGTTACATTATAGAGCATTAATATAACCTAATACATCTTAGAAACCTTTCTAATCGAATACATTAGTTAATAGAATCCAATTTTTGCTTGCGTGACTGAGCAATTTTAAATCTAGTTGAATATTGATTAGTCTTCTGAGATTCGTCTAGACTTTAGTGAGTCACTAGAATAAATTAAATCTTCTTTTATTAGTAATACTTCAAAGATATTTGGTTAATTATTATGATAAAAATTGTTGACTGTTTTCAGTTATTGTTAAAAATAGCGACAACAATAATAATAATGCAACTGAACAAAATTTCGTAATATTTCTCTCGATGGTTTTTTTTTGTGATTTGTTTAGCTCGACCAAATTTAAATCTTTCTCAATCAACTAATAGTAATGATCCTCGTTCTGCGCAACAAGCTTCATATATGGTTTCGGTTATTCCTCATCCACAACACATAAGATCTTTATCTCCTTCAACTCCATCTATTCCAAATAATTCTTCAACATCTGTTATTCAACAATATCAAAACCCACATTTACCTGTACCACCGTTTATCCAAACAGCTTCTTCTTCTTCTTCTTCATCTACCCATCAAACTTCTATTTTACCTTCAACAAATAATTCGCAACATCCAACAAATAATTCACAGCATCCAATAAATAATTTACAACATGCAACGAATAATTCGCAATATTCAACAACTAATTCACAACAGCCGACAAATAACTCACAACATTTAACAATAAATAAAATAAGTTATAAAAGTTTACCATTTTATCAAACAATAACATGTGTTTATGAACGTTATAATGTATTTCATTATGATGCATATCGAAAACAGTATACATCATATGATGAATTTATTTTGCCATTAGACGTATGTAATCAATTAGGTTTATCATATGATTATGATTCTAATCTTAATCTTCATAAAACAAGTAAATGTCTTATATTACGTCTTGCACGTATTGATCAACCAGCAACATTTCATGGACAATATGAAGACAATCTTCCACCAAATTTAGTTATTGTTGTTAATGGACATAGTTTAACAAATTTACCTTTACCAAAAGCTTGTACACGACAACAAAATGATTTAATACGTATTGGACGTGAAATTGATTTAACACCATATGTTATGTTTAATCCAATATTAAAAAATGAAATTCGAATAACATGGTTATATCGTCTAGATAATACAAGTTTACATGTACAATATGCTAATGCTAAATATGCATTACATATATTTCTTGTTGAACATTTAACCGTTGATAATTTATGTGAAAAAGTTATTAAAAAACCATTAAAATTTTATCGTCAAGATTCAATGAAATTATTAGCTAAAGCATGTGCTAAAGATCGTGATCTTGGTTTAGAAGTTAGTGATCAAAAATTAAAATTAACATGTTCAATTGATCAAAGACGTTTAAGAAAACCTATACGAGCAACAACTTGTCAACATCTACAATGTTTTGATTTAACAAATTATATTGGTAAGCAAGAAATTCTTCCTTTTTTTTTTAATTTTCTAGTTGTATTCATACGTCGAACATAGATTTCGTTTGATTGTGCTTAGGAAACGAATAGTCATGGGAAAAAACATTCATTTATTAGTTTTTTTTTTCAAAAAAATATGCTCTTAGCTGAAATTTTTAATACTTTCGCTATCAATCGTGAACAATTTTTTTCCTTCTCATTTTGTTCAAATCGCCAATTACCCGCGTTTCTTTTACTTATTTTTTTTGTACCTTAGTCTATGAATATATTAAGACTATTACGAAAATGTTAGATTTCAATCAAAATCACGTCCCCTTATTACTGTGATTGGGCTGAAACGGTCTGTATCAGCCATATCAGTTGTCCTCGCTTAGTTTTCGAGTTTGATTGTTTATTAAAGATGATGCCATAAAAAAGTCATCAGTAATGTGTCTATATGGTGTCGTCAATTTACATAAGTACCGAAGATTTAACTAATAGAAAAAGGTGAGGCATATTAAAATCGACTTTGTTTGAAATGAAACTGATCTCTTCAAGGCTGAAAATATTAATTTAAAAGAAAAATTATTAAAAACATGATGGAAAAAAGGAATAAGCTCGCCGAACCGTCAGTTTCGACGAAAACTTGACAGCATGAGATCGTTACTATTTATCGTATTTATAATCTCATAAAGAGAGTTTCTGCTCCGTAGAAATGAATATATTTTTACTACATTTAAAAACTGTCTACAATCAGTAGTTTCAAAAGTAATGATAATTCTAATAGTTGTATGTCATTTTGTTCATTGTTCGTCATCATTCTTGTTCATATATATTTCGATGTTGTGCGCTTTGCTGCATCTTGGGTACATGCAAAAATGTTTTTCAACATCAACTAAATCTTTTTTTTTAATCTCTAGCTTTGATATACTAAATTTCACCGAGGTCTCTGAGGCTGATGATGAGACACTATTCCTTAGTTTTGTTTTTATTCGTTCTCATGTCAAACAATATCAGTCTAGGATCTTGTACGATTCTAAACAGATCATATAAAAACTTACTGTATGATCTCGCATGATCATTAAAAATCGTATATAATTTTTGATCGTTAAAATGACTTACTATAATAAAATAAAATATTTAATCAAAAGAAAACAAACTCCTATTTAAACAAATTCATTTTATTATCTGTAAAATGATTTTTTTTTGGTAGATTAGTACCACTACAAAGAAAATATATTTTCAATTTTATAAAAGCTAGCGTCTAAATTAGAACTTATTTAATCGCCCAAATATTTAAACGCATAGAACTATTGTTATCAAAACTTTTTGTATAAGTGAATCTAATATTATGATCTTATACGACCTTCCAAGATTCACAATAGCATCTTTTAGTCAGATAAATATTAAATCTCGCAGTAAGATACTTGTACCATTTCTTAAGATCATATAATATGAATCATACGCCATTCGATTGCCAGTAAGCTTCTTCCAGCTGGGTACAGAATGTAAAATTCCTCCTTCAAGTTTTTTCGGTAAACGTTTTATTTCGTCAGTCAATGTTGCTTTTGTTGTGTATTCTCAATTCATAGCTTAAGTCAGTAGATTTTATAAACTAATTACAATGTTCAAAATGAATGGTGATGAATAGGAAAGAGATTGACAAGAAGGATGCTGTTTATGTAAAAACAAAATTCTCGGTAAGGTGGTGATGTCGTTATATGTATGCAGGCAAGGGTTGGCAGTGCCGGTGATTCGGATGATGAAATAATAGATTCAGAAAGATGCATTAATAACGTTCTTCCAGTAACTCTAAAATTCAGCTGCAAAATATCAGAAAACAACTGGAAATATTAGAAAGACGGTGCAAAACCTCGCATGCATTACTTGAGCTAAAAATGGTTTGCTGATCTCTTTTTCTGCATTCATCTTGAAGAACCGTTGATCGCCAAATTTACCTGATTTATGTTTACTCGATTACAGTTTATGGAATAAACGAGCTGAAGCTATGAATTGGAACGACATAACAGCAAAGGCAACATTGATAGACAAAAGAAGACGTTGCGTCAAAAACTGTGAAAAAGAAAAAATTGTACATTCTATACTTGATTTTCCTGTACAATTTCCTTTTTTTCTAAAAAAAATGGAAGAGGCCATATTTGTTAAATAAATGTTGATATTTTGTGCAGAATTTCAAGTGGAGTCTTTTGATAAAAAAGGTTTTTCAATCAAGGAGATAATTGAGGAGAAAATTCAAAGATACTAACAGTATAATTCTTTATAAGCGATCTTTTATCTAGATTAAAAATTCTTACAAAAGTTTTGTCAGTCAAGTGGCATCTATTGTGTTCTCTATGATAACTTTTTTGACAAGCAAGTTTTTTTTTACTGGGATTAGTTGAAGCAACGATTCATGCTTTTTTTATAATAATGGGAAGTTTTCCTATACTTTCTGTAATTACTGATAGGAAACTTCATTATACATTGAAATGACAATCATTAGAGAACAAGCTGCCTCGAGCATTTCTTTCTCTTTCTATTGAAGATTATTCTTAAGAACTATATAGATATTAAATAATCGAATTTTTAGCAAATCTAATCCCTTCATTGTTGTAGATTGTGCATGTTTCAATATAGTTCGAAAATAAAGTATCGTACCTTTTGTATTAAAAGAAAAATACTCTCGTGTAATACGACACATTAATAGGGTCGTATATCTCTCTCTAAAGATATGGTCAGTATTACAATCATATCTATGAAAGAAGACAGCAACATGACAACATCTTTACAGCGTTTTACAATGAGAATACGCCATTGTATACAGTCAGTAATACTGAGTGTATTATAACGAGAGAATACATTACATAAACGGCTGTTTACGGTAACGGTATGGTAACAAATAGTGATCCAAGACTAGCGAAACAACTACATTACCAGCTTGTTACCTGTTGCGAGACGGCGACCACCTCTCATTTTGAAATTTATGTATGTTATACTCTAAGTATCTGTGTATTTCTATAAGATTTACAGAAACAACTAGTATGCATTTCTCACTACTTTTAAGTTGAAACTGTTTGTATTCTGAATTGATTGGTTTCAAAGAAGGACAACAACGTATATGCTTTATGCAATGTTATTACTGGTATCAAATATTCTTTCTCTTGTTGAAAAAAACTTCTATTCTTGTTGCATTGCTGATGAGCGTTTGTCGAGTTGAACATTGCAATAATCATCAGTCATGTGAGCAGTTCATTTTTGCTTCTTTTGCCGATGATTTATAAGTATGAGATTCAGTAAAGAGAACCTACGTATTTCATGTACGAGGCAACAGTATCTTCTTCCCGAATAACAGAGTTTCTTTTCAAAAATGATTCAACGTTATCAGAGTAACAACAGTTACAGGTGAGCGAAACTTTTTCGATATAAAAGCCAATAAAATCATGTCTTCAAAGTATCATGGGTGAAAACCATACAAATGAATCAGCTATGAAGTATGTGCGTTTCACAATTCACATTAATATCGAGCAAGCCATCGACAACTTCTCAAAAACAGAAAAATAGAGAACTAGAATTTCTTGTAGGATTTGTTTCTTAGCTGTTTTTTTGTTGTTGCCATAGATCACAGTATAAATTTGAACAACTTCTAATGGAGAATGTTAGGAAAATCATCACAAAAACTGTGAATAATTTGTTTTCATCCGTCACTCCTTTCAAAAGTTCTTAGATCTGTTTCTAATGCTCTAATGAGCGTTTGTTGTTAAGCAAGTGTAATAAATTGTTGTTTTCGTTTTTGTGTTGTTGCACATGGTCATACAGGATCGACTTAAACCAATAAAGTCTCTCAACTGCTTCCATCTTTTGAGCTACTATTGCATCTTTGCCACATCATAATAGAGTTTTTGCTGCCACAACCACATGATTGAGCTTTGGATTCAACGAATACTGAGATAACAATATAATTTCGATCTGGATGTATACTAGAAAAACCATATGTCAGCGGTATGATAGAGTTAATGATTAACAACAATGTCGAAAGAATGAATAGTGATTTTGTTCAGAAGATGTCTAGTGCTGCTTATTTATATTAGTTTAAATGGAAAGTTTTACTATAGGATGCGAGATTTTTGCCTACTACTGTATCTTTATTCTACATCATACTTGAATGACTTGTTCCATCTTTGAAACGAATTTATGAGATATTATTTTGAATATATAAATATTTTCTTATGCTATTTTAGCTTTAAATGAAAAATCACACAAATGGATATGTCCTGTTTGTAATAAACCAGCGCTATTGGAAGATTTACAAATTGACTCATATACAGAATCAATATTAAATTCAATAAAAAATGAAAATATAACCGAAATAACAATTAATGCTGATCTTCAATGGACACCTGTTATACAAACGAAAGTAGACGATGAATTAATCAGCCCAACTTCAAACATAAATATAATTTCATCATTATATGATCCTATTTTAATTGATGAGGATTAATAGTAGTTTTTTTTTCTGTGATACAGAATTTTAATCAAAGATAAAAAAATTACAAAAACATAACAAAGATTATATTCTCTTTGTTTTTCTTTTTTTTTTTAAGATAATGACTAATTTATCAGATGAACATTATCTTCTTCAATTAAAATCATTACCTATCAATGATTTACAAATGTTATTAACTTATTCAGGACAATCACGAACAGGTAAACGTCATGAATTACTTGAAAGATGTTTTTTATTAATTAAATCTTCGAAATTAATACGAGATAAACTCGATGAATTATATAATAAACGTTTTGGTCAAGGTGATTTACCAACAATACCATATCCACCAGATTTAAAAAATACAGTAAAATCAACACATCATCATTTACCTATACATCAGCAACCAGCAAATGTTGATATACATTTTTTACCACTTACATTTAATGAAGAATTATATGTTATATCACCACCATATCCAGTTCCACCTGTTAAACATACAACCAATGAATCACAAAACTTACTTAATTTTTACTTTTTATTATCAGCGCAGCAAGCATCTGGTTTGAATGAATAAATAAAATCATTAAAAAAATCATTCGTTTTAGTTTTCATTTAGATGTTGCAACATCAACTTATTTTAATAGTGATCAATCAAAACTTGAATTTCGAAAACAAATTTTATTAAGATTTACAACTATTGGTGATGTAACAAATAATGGAAAATATGCACTTGATAAATTACCACCAAATCTTTATGTTTTTGTCAATAATAAAGTTGTTGCATTACCTCAACCAAAACCTACAGCTAAACCAAATTCTGATGTTATTCGACCAGGTTAATAAAGATAATTTATAAATATTCATCGCTTTATTTTATTACATAAGCATGATTAGTATATTGCATAAAAATCACTAACAAATCTATCACAGAAACAACTCTATAAGAAATAAGTGCAGCTATCTTTTCGGATTTTGTCAAAATCAAAGTACTAACTTCATTTAATATTTCCAAAAATAAAAGAAAAACTTTTAATGAAGTATTTCGAAGAAATAATTATCTGAAATTACATGACTTTCGAGTCCGATCCGAAGTTTACTTTATTAATCCTTCATGAAAAGTCTTATCTTTATGAATGTTTAGTACACTTAGTAGTGCACAGCAGTATGCATATTCATAAAAGCGTCATGCTCAGTAAGATAGTATAGTGCGCAGCAGGATGATATTGTACTGAGTATTGTGTTTGAATAAATATGCATACTGCTGAGTTCAACGGAGTATACCAACTAGTCATCGAAATAAAGCTTTTTGTGGGGAATTAATAAGGTAGACTTGGTCTTGAACCAAAATTTCTGTCTCCCATTCTTGGTATATATTGAAAAAATCTCTAGAGAAGAATTAAGAATTCATTTGAGCTATTTGTTTTAATTCAACGTTCTTATTAATTATTACTAAATAAATAAAAATTTTGTTAATATTATTATCTAGGTCGACCAATCGATATAACAGAATATTGTCGTTTATGTCCATTAATATCTAATCTAGTTGAAATATCTTGGTTTACACAAGATAGTTCAACTCCATTGCCACCTTATATTGCTGCCGTTTACTTAACTGAACGTAAAACAGTTCAACAATTATTAGCACGAATCTCACGTCCTGCAGCAATTCGACCATCTATTGAAACACAACGTACTATAGCTCAAACATTATCAGCACAACAAACTTCACAAGGCATTGATGATGATCTTGAAGTAGCATCAACGTCACTTCGTTTACCACTTGAATGTCCAGCAATGCGTATACGAATGAGAATGCCTGGACGAGCAACGACATGTAAACATGTTCATTGTTTTGATTTAGAAGGTTATTTACGTATGAATGAAAAAAAGCCAAGTAAATAAATTTATGAATATTTTCATTTTTGAATTACATATATATATATATATTTGTTTTGTTAATTGAAGCTTGGCTTTGTCCTGTATGTAATAAAGCAGCATTATATACAGATTTATTTATTGATCAATTTTTTATTGATATTATTTGTAAATGTCCATTGAATGTAAAAGCAATTGAATATGAAATAAATGGACAATGGAAACCTATTGAAGAAGAAAAACTTTCACGAAGAGCACAACGTGAAAAAGAAATGTACAAAGCTGAAAATATAAATAATGGAAAATCTGCAAATGATATGGATCAATCAATGGATAATGATTTTGATGATGAACAACCACGTACAAGTAAGTTTTCATTTGATTTAGAGATGAAAAGAAAATGTATCGTCTATTTTTTGCTTATTTTCTCTTAGAATCAACGGAACAAGAAGTTTCACCACCGATTCAAGATAATATTCCTATTATAGAATTAGATGATGATTAATATTTGTTATGAATTTAACTTTAAAAAGTTTTTTGTTGTACTGTACAATTGTACACTAAACAATAATAAATAATGCATAAATACATATATAAAAATATAGGTTCTTTTTTATTAAATATTAAGTGTTACTTTCAATGAAATATTTTTTCGAGTTCGTTACACTATATATGAATATGTCGTGGCTCATCAATGTTACGATATATCGACTGCAAAATCATATCGAATAAAGTGCTAGCTGTTCAACCTGTGACAATATCGGTGACTATAATATATATGTATAATTAGGAGGTTCTAAAAAAGATTTCTAAGAATAAGTTCATGAAGAAATAAATGAAATATTTTTTTAGTCAGTGATGCTGTTGGTTCTGGTGTGATCGTTTGTCAAGATACTCAAAGAGAACAAATTCAATTGATTTCTGTCCATTGAAGCTATTATTGACAAAAAAACAATTTTTTTCCTGTTGATGAAAAGTATTTTATTAGATTTATAAATCTAATAACATACGCAATATTGTCATCTGAAATGTGTTTGTTATTTGAGAATTTGCTTCCGAAGAAAATGTTTGCTTAAAAGAGAATTGAATATAACAAATAATAATATTAAACAAACAATGATTGACCCTAAACTTAGTATGTTTAAGCATATTTATTATTTAGTGCGTAGATAAATTTACAGAGAATCCTTTCATTGAACTAAATTTGATAAAAAGAAATTCTGTACAATGTTGACAAAGTATGTCATTGACATTCTTCTCTTTATTCAGAAATTTAATCTTTAATTTTTTGATAGGAATCATGAAAATTTTAGATTCAAACAAAATATTCTAGACATTGATGAATATTTCATATTATGCTTTATCATTGCACTCTATAAAATTATTGTTTTTCTTGAAAACCATGATAGTTATTTTCGATAAATCTCAATTAAAAATTCATTTTCAAGATAAAAATAGTGGCGTAAATAGAAATTGTTTATGATTAATTTTTCAAACGTCAAAGTTGAAACAACGACTGCTACTGACGTTTGAACTTGAGCTTATGTTTATATCAGTAGTTTAAAAAAAAACCTTTTTTCTTTCATACAACACACGAATCAGAATGCATACGAAATGGAAGATTTGCATTGATTTTACTATCACACTATGCATCGTATGTGATCAAGAATAATATGAGTCTACTTAATAATCAGTATTATGATGACAAAAGATAACACATTCAATGTTATTCATAAAAAATAGTTGTAAACATGACTTGTCGGGCGTCAACATAAGCATCGGTGTCTTTTGAAATTAATATATCTAAAAAGCCAAGTTTCAGAGAAGATAATAAAATCGTATATTTTTGTTTGATCGGATAGTAACAGAAAAATATCTTTTGTCCTTGAATGAGTGTTAAATCAAACGAAAAACTCTATTTAAACTAATTGCTTCTATATGATATAATGATTTCCTTTGTGATGAGACCAAGAAAATGGCTGTAGGTTTTAATAGACCATACTCTCTATAATAAAGATATTTCTTCTTTTTTTTTCCTCTTATCAATACTATTCGAAGCTATTTTTTATAATGTTGATTATATGATTTAAGATGAATCTCATTTAGATTCTAGATAAAAAACTTGATTGAATGACATCCGGAAATAAAAAACCTTGAGATTCATGACTTCATTAATAATCAGTATTCAACAATTTGAATTAGGAGTTAATTGAGCATAATGTAGGCGTCTAATGAATTCAATTGTCATGAATCTGTTTCAGTGTCATAATTTACCTTTTTCAAAAAAAGAAAAATGCCTTTCTTTCTTTCTTTTTTTAATTTCCATTGAACTGAAAAGAAGGAACTTAACCTTGTCTAATATTCTAACATTAATAAACAACTTTAAATTTTGTTTTATTTTTTTCTTCTTAAATGACGAATATAGAATTTTCCCATGAAATGATTCTTTTTTATATATGGCTTTGATCCATTAAAATTATCCAACTCTGATTAATGACAGTTGTTTCTAATAAGACATTCTTTCTTAAGTATACGTAAACATATCATTCACTAACTCGTATGAAAGTCATTAGGCTAAGGGTCATCGAACAGGCGGCGTCATGGAGACTAATAAATATCGATTGATCATGATTGATGAATGTGTGTCAACATCTTTAACCTATTGATAATATTTCCGATACTTTTTCTTTCGCTCATTTCCTTAACAAAAAATACGTAATATATATGGTGTCCTTGTCACCTTTTGTAATGAACGTTGAAGTTGATAGAAACACATTCTACTCCCAGAGCAAAAGAAAGTATAATAATACTTCTTCCTTTTCCAATTGTTCTTAGCTTGTTCTTCTCTCTTGAACCATTACACAAGTTCAGCTTCGACTGCTGATAAAAATCTGTCTTGTTGCTTTTACTTCTTGACAAATCAGTCTCAGCACTATTCTCTTCTTTTTTTTCTTTCTCGTTCAGCTATTCTTTAGACTAAACGAGTGCTCTCTCTCTGTCTCTCTTTCTCTCTTCTCTTTCATCATACACACGCAAGAAGAAAGACAGTCACTCACTCAGAGAAAAAAAGAAGAAAAAAAAAAAGTTCATTAAATGAGATCAGGCAAAGTAACAACGACAACCATTGCATTTGCTTCTTTTCATCTTCATTTTCACTCGTACACATAATGACACCACGCAAGTTTTCTTATCCATTTGTTGCTCAAGCTGAAACATTACTTATATATGGGATATTCTTACTTTTGACTGGTTTGGCACAAATTTGTGTAACTATAAGTCATCGATATATTATTGCAAGAACTATTCATCATAATAATAATATCAATATTCTTAGTTTTCTTCCAGTTACATTTACTTTAGCTGATATTCACTTATGGTACATTTATCCATCAGCTTCACTAGTAAGTTTTTGTAACAAAAAAAAAAAAAAAAAGAAGAGTGATTATCAAATGAATCCATACTTTTAGTACATTTATAGAGAGATATGTGTAAGAGCATGTCAAATGTCATATATGATGAATACTAAATAAAATTGAACAAATCCCCACTATCCTTTATTGATCTTGTTAAATAAAATGAATTCTTCATTCTTTTAGTTTAATTTAAAACAAACTAAACTTCTTGTTGTTGTTGTTCTGTCAAACGAATTAATATATTTATATTTATTAGACTAATCAAATATTATTATGAGATGAAAATTATTCATTGCTTCTTATTTTCATTTAATTGAATCGATAGGTTTTTTTAATTCCTACAAAAATTTTCTTTTTGCTTCGTAGAATAACCTATGACATATGTCTAAGTGTAAAATGTATTATCATATATCCGGAGGTTGTTTTCTTTCAATCAAAAACATGTACATAGTTCATATTATAATCATACTTTTCCCTTGTGTTTAATTCTACTCCGCCCCTTTTCAATATTCGTAATTAGAAACGTGATAAATATCTTGTTCATTTTTTCTTCTTCTAAAGACAATTATCCCATTCGCTGCTTGTGTCATCTATGCTCTATTTAAACGACGAGTGATGGTAAAAAAAAATAATAAACAAAAGTACAAATATAACTTTAAGTAAAATCATTTTTGTTTATATAGGCAATACTTATTTCAATATCATCAATGATCAGTTTCATTTCATCATCCGTATATGTGGGTCTTCTTATTGCGCATACGCTTGAATATTGGCAAACAATGTCATCATATCGTTATAAAACTATTCTATCTCCAACAACAACTTCAACGTATGTGCAAATTATTGAAAATGTTTTTCTTTTATAATAAAATAATTATCTAATTAGACGGATACTTGTACCATTCGATGAGCCATCAACATTTGTTAATTTAGCACTTCTTATTACATTTACATTAGCTCTTGTTCAAGCACTTTTATCCATGATTGGAGCCGTTATTTCTTGTCTCTGGTCACCATGTTGTATGAATTCACCAACAATTTATACACCAGTATCTACGAGTTCACATTATGCACAAACAACGCCACATCGACATGAAGTATACATTGTTTATGTTTGAAAGTTCTATTTTTATTTTTATTTATATCTAGACTCCTCAATCATCAACATTACGTAGTGTTAAACGTCAACAACAACAACAACAACAACAACAGCAACAACGTCCAGAAACTCATCGATTTATAACAACAAATGGATATCAAGATACAATGTTGAATGGTTTTATTCATAAAAATCCATCCATTCGAAGTCATTATGATCATGTTTAGATGTTTTTGTTTCTTTTTATTCATCTAATTAATTCTTGTATATTTGTCATTCAGTGAAATGTTGTGTTATTGAAAATGAAAAAAATAATTTCGGTTTATATCACAAAATAATTATCATTTATTTGATATCATTTTCTTTTTCAAGGGATATAATAGCAGACCTGGATAATAAAAACTTCAGGGCAAACATATAAAAAGAATACCTGTAATTAATAATTTCCGTTTTATTTCAGGTTCAAGAAAAAGGTTTTTTTTCTTGAACCTGAAATAGATGTCAAGTAATTGAATTTAATATGAAAATTAGTTTTTTTTTTTTTTTGTTTTTCGTTGCTAAATAGATGATGAATGCATACATAGAAATGAAATGAACAGATGTATTCGCACATCTTTTTTCCCATTGACCTATCTGTTTCTTTTGCCGTCCACAGAGAAGGAAACAATCATGTCGGTCAACAATGCCACTATGCTTGATTCGTACTGACTAGACTATTTTTTTTTCTGCTTTTTCTTCTTCTTCTCCTTTTTTTCCTGACTTATGTGTACGAATGGTCAAGTGGAAATTAGTAACATTTGTTTTTACTTTTCTCATCATTTGTACTTATATCAGTAGTATTTTAAAACAACAAGTAAAATTTTTAACAAATGATACCAAACAAAATATTCGAACAACACTAGTATTTATTCATGTACAAAAAACAGGTGGTTCGGAATTTGAACGATCAATTGTTCGTCGACTTTATTTTGGAACACAGCCAAGTTGTCGATG